ACAAACCCCATTGCCTACTCTGTCCCCATATCTACTCTAGCGACACCATCAGATGACCCAACCACATGAGCCACACCATCAGGGACTCATTCACCTGCATATCTACTAATATGATATATGCCATCATGTGCCAGCAATGCCCCTCTGCCATTTACATTGGCCAAACCGGACAGTCTCTCTGCAAAAGAATAAATGGACACAAATCAGATATCAGGAATGGTAACATACAAAAGCCAGTAGAACACTTCAATCTCCCTTGACAGTCTATAACAAACTTAAAAGTAGCCACCCTTCAACAAAAAAACCTGAAGTCTGTTTTTGAAAAGAGAAACTGCAGAACTAAAATTCATTTGCAAATTTAACACCATTAATTTGGTCTTGAATAGGGACTGGCTGGCTCACTACAAAAGCAACTTTCCTTCTCTTGGTATTGACACCTCCTCATCAATTATTGGGAGTGGACCACATCCAACCTGATTGAATTGGCCCTGTCAACACTGGTTCTCCAGTGGTAGCTCCCTTCTCTTCATGTGTCAGGTATAATAATGCCTGCATCTGTAATTTTGACTCCATGCATCTGAAAAAGTGGATTTTTTACCCTCAAAAGCTTATGCCCAAATAAATTTGTTAGTCTTTAAGGTGCCACCGGACTCCTCATTGTTTTTGCTGACACTGAGAGTATGAAAGTGCTTAGCAAAACTGGGCTCCAATCCATGTTGATGCTATTAGTATAAAACCAAACAAAACTACATTCAAAATGGATTTAATACGCATGAGTTTTGCGGAGGTAGTAAGATACAATTCACAATTTCCGGTGACTAACTTATTATTTTAAGAATAAAATTGGAGCACTAAACCCCACAGTTTTCATTTATTGTTCAAAAATAATCAAAGCTAATGCATTATTTCAACTCCAATTTTGCTATAGACAAAATAGCCTAAAAGCACAAAATGTATATTATTTACCTGCAAAATCAGTTATCAGTGTAACATTACTAGACTGAGATGATTAATACCAACTGAGCAAGAATTGTTTTAACCCCTTAAATAACTAAATCTGCCAAAATGGAAACGCAATTCATATAACCCTTTAATTTCCTAATCTGACAGAGATCAAATAAAAATGAACACAAGTCTTGCATAGTACATTGTACACTGCATTTTTCCTGACAATGTAATACATTTAGAAACTTGGAAGTTCAAATCATATTTCCCATGCATTAGATCAGGGGTCAGCAACCTTTCAGAAGTGGTGTGCCGAGTCTTCATTTATTCACTCTAATTTAAGGTTTTGCGTGCCAGTAATACATTTTAACGTTTTTAGAAGGTCTCTTTCTATAAGTCTATAATATATAACTAAACTATTGTATGTTTAAGAAGCTTCATTTAAAATTAAATCAAAATGCAGATCCCCCTGAACCGTTGGCCAGGACCCGGGCAGTGTGAGTGCCACTGAAAATCAGCTCGCATGCCGCCTTTGGCACGCATGCCATAGGTTGCCTAGCCCTGCATTAGATACTCATTTGAGATTATACTCCATTGCTCTTCTTCTGATGGGACATTGTACCTATTCTGCCACCAAGATGTGTCCAAAGTGAAAAAGACAGCTAAACAACTTACTTGAGAATTAGCACAAAACCAGACACAACCCATGAATTTAGAATTTACCCATGGATATAAGTAAATATAGAAGGGCTGTACTTGAACTAGATACAAACAAATGTTGCTGAATTTGCGCTTTGGAAGGACCGGAAGTATGCACCAGAGAACAGAAACACAGTTTCCTGTATTGCTACATTTGTAAATAATCAAGTAATGCAAAACAAGCACTAGTACTTCCTCTCCAGCATTTGTCAGAATGAACTTGTCACCCCTAAAAGCAATATAATGAAAGATGCAGAAATACTGTGTATTGGATTGGTCTCTGCCATAGTTCAAAAAACTTTCCTGAGTCAGTTATAACAGTGGCAATCACATTTTTCATTGTTTTTTTTTTTTTTAAAGTAAGAAAACAACTTTATAACATACATGCACAGAGTGAGCTTTAGAGCATTCACCCTAACTAAGAGTGAAGAACTCACTCATACATTCAGCCTGATTCTGTGCTATTGCCACCAATCCTTCAGGCAAATAGAACATACAATTATAAGAAGGGGTTAAGATTTTCAAAGCTGACTAAAGGAAGTGGGTCCAAATTCCTCAGACAGTTTTCAAAATATCATCCCAAGCCTCTTACCAATTAAAAGGATTTATCTGAGCCATTTAACAGTTTGGAAGTCTCATTCTCCTCAGTCTAAATGATTGGCACACTAGCACTTCTATTTGCCTATATGTAATTATAGAATCTCAGAATGGCTAATAAATGTATAATATAGTCAAAGAGTTTTGTTGAAAACATGAGAGCTATTTTTGAATGGCAGCAACATATTGTGAATGAATGGAGCACATATGATTTTATGGGCCATTTGTTATTCAGAATCAAACTAAACCATTAATCACCTCGATAATTTTATCTTTACAAGGAAACAGTACTTATTTCATTCAAGCCAAGAATCCACAGGGTAAGAAGCACTTGTCACTATGACTTTGCCTGTGAAGTGTACCATGTACACAAGTTTTTATTGACAACCGGCACTTCTGAGTTTAGTATTGGAAGCAACAGTTTTTCTGAAAAGTTCCTTTCTGAGTAACCCTGGGCTCCCACCAATGCAATTAAACTGCAAACCTGTTTCTTCTGGGAACATGCAAAAATGATGGTCTCAATTCTTCTCTGTTACATTGGTGTACTCATGATTTACAGGGGTGTAAATACATGAGCAGATTTTGGCCAAGCACTCACTTGAACACACAAGGGGTGTTGTGTAAGAATGATTTCTGCTTACATGAGGGCCATTTACTGAAAAATGCAACCTCCAGCATAAAGACCTAGATTCCACTCCCATTAGTCAATGGAAAGACTCATTGCTGTAACCCTAAACTCTGAAATGCCAATTTTCCTTGACTTTTAAAAGGAAGTACATTTCATATTTTATTCAAGGTGGTGTGCTTGTGAGCTGCCCTTAAAATGTTAAATAAAACAGCCTGACCACTAATAGCAATCAAGAGGATTTTACCAGTGATTTAAAGGAAAACAAGTCAGTATGGTACGAAACCATGGTCTTAAGGATAAAGCATCTGTGACCCAAATCTTCTATCGACTTCAACGAGCACTGAATAGGGCCCCAAAATAAAAGCAATCTAGACCATTCCTAAAACTAGACCCATAATGGAAATATCAGCAAATTTTTCATATCACCTAAAGAATGCAGATGGCTGCTGAACATTTCTGAAGCCCACTAAATTACAAGTTTGCCACAATTTCAATAGACAGCACATTACCTATGTTTAGTCTGTCAAAGGGAAGCAAGTTCTGAGTAAAACTGGGCTCTCTACTGAATACAAACCTTTTTTAATAGTAACCTACTCATTAAAGAATCAAAGAATTAAAGAACTGGAACTGGAAGGGACCTCAAGAGGTCATCTAGTCCAGTCCCCTGCATTCAAGGCAGGACTAAGATTTGTGTTATCCTTATGTATCTAGAATTATAAACATGTCAGTCTATATATAATGAAGCCTGCACTTAGAACCACCTAAGCCAATAAAAATATTAAATAGTTGTCTAGTATAGGCTGGTCTTTAATAAGAGGCCAAATAAAATTCCTTAAGAAACCTTAGAAAGATTAGTTCTCCCCTAAGACAGGGGAATTACCTTGTTGGATAGGTTCCTTTGTGTATACAGTGAAATCTGCTTGAAGATATTAGCTTGTGAGTGATTTGATAATGAACAAAATATTCTGTAACACAAGAGGGGGTACCTTTAAATTACCTTACATATTTATTAACCACGAAACAAAACACTCCTTATTGAGTCATTCTTCCCTCCCTCCCCTCACACTCAAATGGTAAAGTTTCAACTAACCCTATATTATAATAACTTGCATCTTTCTTCCTAGGATGTCAAAGCATTTAACAATGGTGGGTATTATTCCTATTTTGCAGATAGGGAAATAGAGGCAAAGAAGCCTGATTTTTTTGAAGTTAGTCACATTACAACTGCATATGCAACTGGACAATTAGACACAATAGCGATTTGTGCAAAATAAGTATTTGATTTTCACACCCATTTATGGAGTTTGCATGCACCTACATTCAAAACTCAGGTCCTAAGTGATTTGCCCAACATCACCCAGCAAATCAATGGCAGATTCAGGAACAGAACACAAGCCTAACAGAGTCCTTGCCCTGACTGCCAGACACTCATTTTATATGCAAAATTATAAAGTTTGGAATGTTCTGCCATCAGGTGCTCTGACAGGCTCAAGGCTAACAACTCATATTAGGTGAGAGGCAAAAACAGAACTTACGGAAGTAAATAAATTAAGCCTTTGAGAAAATTCCAGTAAACAGATGGTTTCCTACATTGTTTTAGAGGTACGTGAGAACAGACACCTAGGTCAAAAATAGATTTAGTTACCTCTAAACCCCCTTAATTTTTAAAAGTTTTTTTTTTTAAATGTTTATTTTTCAACACTAATGCGGCTGCAATGTAAAAAGTAGGCACTCTGCTTGGACAATGAGAGCTGTGTAAACAGTTTCATTCTCTGGCTCTCTTGCACTAACACAACTAGTGTTAAATAGGATATTTATTTCTTACATCTGTTTTCAATGGATTTAAAAAAAAAAAAGTTTTACAAAAAACTTAAATTTTGGGCCTAAAGGGACCTGACAGTGTGTCAAATCTATTTAAGACCATGGTTAAAACATATTATTAAATCCTGTAAACCATTAGCCACTTCATCAAATCTGGCAACAAAATTTGACATGATTTATACATATGTATTTTTAATCTGCATAAGATATGTCAGATCCCTAACTCCAGGTTATCAAAGTGGAATACTTTCCTACTCTACATTACCCTTTATATAGAAAAAGAAAAAACCAAGTCCCCAAAAAAATCATATCCTGAATGTGGTGAGTCAGTAAATGGCACCTTTTATGTGAAACCATCCATTTAGTAAATGCACAAGACATGAATTCAACACCAGTAGGGAGTGTATGAGATCTCAAGTTAACCAGAATTTTCCAAACAAGAAGTGAGCTAAGATTTTAAAATGTTAAGACAACATGGCTTCATGTCATCACCAAAACTGTGTCTTTCATGCACCATTCACTTTGTGCTCCCAAAGTTGCCTCAAAATTTAAAAATCTGTATGAAATTCAAGATTCTGCACTTCAGATTTACAGCGCCTTAAACTTGGATCATCAGACTTTACTACAAACAATGTTACTGCTAAGGGTAAACTTGAGTGTCTCTTACACCGAACATTTTATTATGATGCCAGATGGGAAAGTATTGGTGTCAAAACATGAAATGTTTTTTCAGAAATTGTGTCTGTGCTCAAATTCACATAAAAACCCAGCATTTTTACAACCATATTTAAATTTAATTATTGTACACAGGTTAACAAAAAAGTATCACAAGTAAAACTAAACATTGGATTTAACAAAAACAATAGAGTGGTACAACGGGTGTTCAATTTTTCAGGAAATAATATTACAAATGACCATCTCTCAGAGAGTTTAACCTCACTAGGGACACAAAGTCTGTTAAAAAAAAAAAACAAATGTAGCTGTTATCTACTGAGCCACTTATCTTAGCACTACAGTATATCTGAAGTCGGAGTCCTAAGGTCAAGGTATAAAAATCAATCAAGAGTCAAGTCCCCAGAGTGTGTTAGTCACAACCATTGTATTTCTTTGAAAGGGGGAGGGGAAAAAAGAAAAAAAAAAGGAAAAAAGAGACCCCAAACACAGATTCATTAAAAGGCTGCTGTATATAGTTTATCCTTCCCATAGCATACTCAGTTCAAATTACTGTTAATATCATTGGTAGTATGGTCTATATCTGGTTTGATCTGGGTGATGTGGTCCAGGAAGTGGGGCTTGAGAAGGTGGGCCTTGCATTCTTGGGGGTGGAGGAGGCCCTCTTGGAGCTGGCCACATCCCTGGACTCATTCCCCCAGGCTGTGTAAAAGGAGGGCTGAGAGTTCCTTGATCTTCACTGAACTGCGGCAAAGAGTTAGGATTATAGTGATGGGGAGGGGGTGCATTTACATTTACTGGTGGGCCACCATGTTGAGGAGGGGGAGGTCCTGGAGGAGGGTGATTCATATATGGTGGCATTTGGGCAATTATGTGTCCAGGGGGAGGGGTTATTGGTGGTGGAGCAGAGGTCATCGGTGGTGGTGGAGCTTGGCTATAAACCATATGAGGAGTACCTGCTCCCTGGGGAGGATGTTGCATTGGATGGCTTATTGGTGGTGGTGGTGGCGGGGGTGGTGCATAATGTTGCTGTGGAGGCATAATATGATGAGGATGGGATACCACTGGTTGACCCTGATATTCAGGATGATGATGAGCAGGTGCTGGGGCTGGTGGAGGTGGTTCTCGAGCACCTGAATTTGAATCATCCTGAATAGGGACAGTTATTAAATTGCTGTGTTTTCTCGTGGAAATACGAAACGTATCCTGACTGACCGAGCGTGGTGGTGGTGGAGCCATTGACATCTCTGCTGGGGGTGCACGAATGTCCTCGTGTGGTTGGTTATAATGCTCGTGTTGCACATGCTGTAAAGGAGGTGGTGGCATCATGAGGTGCTGCTTTGGTGGAATATGGCTCATATGATGCTTATCAGGTGGCATTATGAAACGCTCAGGAATTTCAGCAGGAGGTGGGGCAATAGGAGGATGAACAGGTTCAAGTGGAGGACGGGTAACAGGTTTTCCAGCTCTCAGATGACGATGGTTGATGTGAGCCTGTAAGTCTCTCTGAGACAGATATGTTCTCTTGCACCCTTGAATAATGCTACACATGAAGAGAGACCCTCGCACACATTGCTCAATTCGCTGCACGGGATCATTACAGCTAAATTAGAAAAAAAGATTGGTTTATTATCATCACCAACAGCTCTGAATCTAGAAATATTTACACTAAATCTTCATTCCACAATTCTACATATTTAAAATGACATTTCTTAGTGCCAGCACAACACGAAAGGCTTGTATTTCCTTAATTCAAATTAAATTGTCTAATTTTGAAATACTGTATTCTCCTATAGAAGCACAGTTACAAAGTACATCAACATTTCCTGAGAAGTTTAGAACTGACATCCCATAATCTGTATCATATTCTAAGATGTGTCAAAAAGCACAAAAGAGAAGGGGTTCTTGAGATTAGGGACACAATTAGGGTACACAATTAGTAAGTGAGTCTTAATTACTAGTGAACTGTCATTTGCTCTATTGAAGGTAATAATGGGAAGACTGAACACAAATATGTCAACTTATTTAAAGTATCTTCTATTTACCATTTAAACTAGGGCTGTCAATTAATCAGTTAACTCACGCGATTAACTAAATAAATTAATTGCAATTAATTGCAGTTTTAAATCGCACTGTTAAACAATAGAATACCAATTGAAAGTTATCAAATATTTTGGATGTTTTTCTACATTTTCAAATATATTGATTTCAGTTACAACAGTATACATAGTTGACAGTGCTCACTTTATATTATTTTTGATTGCCATTTTTACAGTGCTAATATTTGTAAACAAAAGAAATAGTATTTTTAAATTCACCTCATACAAGTACTGTAGTGCAATCTATTTTTTTTTGTTACATAACTCCACTCAAAACCAAAACAATGTAAAATTTAGAGCCTACAAGAAGTAGGACTGAGTGGACTTGTAGTTTTACATTGTTTTTTTCTTTTTTTGAATGCAGTTATTTTTTGTACCTAAGTCTACATTTGTAAGTTCAACTTTCATGATAATACAAGTACAGTAGTGCAATCTCTTTAAGTGATTTGAAAAATACTATTTCTTTTGTTTCTTTTTTACAGTGCTAATATTTGTAATAAAAACAATATAAAATGAGCACTGTACACTTTGTATTCTGTGTTTTAATTGAAATCAGTATTTTTGTGTTTTCTACATTTTCAAATATATTTAAATAAATGGTATTTATTATTTTTTTAATCATGAGATTAATCATGATTATTTTTTTTAACTGCTTGACCTCCCTAATTTAAACATCAACAGTTAAACTGAATCTCTCAGTATCTGGATGACAATGTAGTGTCAAACTACAACCCCTCTAGTGCAGCAAAAGTATTCTTTGCTTCTTCTTCCTATTGAGCTGTTTTTCCACCAAACAAAAATTATGTACATTAACTAAGACATATGTGAGAATAAGCAGTTTAAATTATTCCAGTACATTCTCCCTTTTTAATAAACAATCACTAGTGAACTTACCCTGGGCACATCTTGTCACCCTTCTTCTCATGTAATATAGCACAGTCATAGCAGAAAACATGCTTGCAAGGTATCTAGAGACATACAAACAATCGCTTCATTAAACCATTATGTGTAAACCAGTATGTCATTTATAGAATGTATTTTTAAATAAGTTTTGATACATTCCTCCCTCATGAACATGCTTTCTCATTCTGTATCTTCCTGAAAATAAAATTCTTACATTTAAGTTGTCTGTGAAATGCATGCTGGGAAATGGACATGATACAGCTACATGTAACAAAATATGCAGTACCTTTGATGGGACACTTTCAAAAATAGCTTGAAAAAGGTAAATTCCGTGAAAAAGAAAATGCAAAACATATAGGCAAAACTTTAAATAAAAGAATGCACCACAAGCTCTTCCTATAGCAGCGAGGCAAGGCTCTTTATGGAAGCTACAGCCGTATATTTCAGCTGTTCCTGCTACTGGGACTTGGTAACACCAGTACTGGTACTTCATGCTTTAGCAACTGGCATTCTAGGCTTCCCCTCGCTAATCATAGTCCTTTTAGCAGGACTCAGTGCACTGCTTCTGCCAATCTCCCATGTAACTGTGCACACATTAACTTGGATGGAGCTTGCGCTCCTCCAAATCAATTTGAAAATTTCCATCCTGGCAGTTGGAATAGTTGGTTCTGTGATGGGTCAGCGAAGGTTCAACTGAACAGGACACAGTGGCTTTAACAGCTAGTGCCCAAGGTCCATGTCTCGCTAATGGGTACAGTTCTCCAAATAGACTGGTATTCACCCATGTTTTAAAATAAAGAAGAGACTACTGTGACGTTGTGCAGTCTATATGGTTTTATAAAAATAAAAGTGAATGTAATGTAATTGGGATATGCTTCATGCAAAAGGTCTCTTGTAAGGTATCATTACAAAGCTCAATCTACTGAGTGTGATCATCCTATTTGTAGAAATGTACCACTCTTGTATCTAAAACTAGAAATATAAAACATAACGCTGAGGGCCTATTGTAATTATGTAAAGTGTGGGCCATTAAGGATGGTTTGGAATCTTGATGACTCCCATTGTCTGCAGATGGCTGTATTTACCTTTGAGTCTTCCTGTATATGTGTGTGCTGGCAAGTGAGTAATGAAGTCTTGCAGTGACATGTGATCATGTCACCTGAACTGGAATCCATCTTTAACCTGGTGCTTTTCCAGTGAGGGGGGGTGGAAACCCAGAGGGACAAAGGGTTCCCGCCTTATGCAAAAGATATATAAAGGGGTGGAAGAGAACAAGGGAGAGAGGAGCCATCATGGAGAATCCCCTAGCTAACACCTAAGCTGGAACAAGAGCTGTACCAGGGGAAAGAATTGTGCCCAGGCCTGGAAGGTGTCCAGTCTGAGAAAA